GGGGAATTCTGCGAGTTGAAGTCCACTCATCTTAAAGTGGCCAAGTTTGGACAACACTGGTCTAGTCATACAAGCATGGCATGCAGTGTGTCCAGTTCCTCCTCTGCAAAGCACAAGGAGGGCCATCTTAAGTCATATTAAAAGTCATTCTGGTTTCAGATTCAAGAATAGTGTTTTGGAAAGTTTAATTTAAAGGTTGTTAACAGATAACCAGACCACTGTATTCTGACATTTCCTGAACTATCCAAAAAGCAGTTTCTTGGAAACCCCTCTGATTATCTAACAATAAACTTTCATCGTGCCCAAAGTTAAGAACAACATAACCCAATACTACTAAAGCTTTTGCATATGCTGGTCACTAAACAGGTATAGGAAACTGACCTGGAATCTAAAACTGCAACACTTCACAAGACATTTCTTAGGTGATATAAGGCAATGAAGGACAATGGACATTTAATATCTATACTGTAAAATGTCATAAGGAAGAAATACAGAGGCACTGTGCAGCTGGGTCACTGCTGCATGATCAGAAGTAGCCAAAATGAACATGACTTTAGTAGCCCACATTAGACACTCTTCCAATTATAAGTCATGTACCCACATAGTCTCACAGATGCCAGACCTCATACTACTATTAACTCCCAAAAGCTTCTGATAAACATACCAAGTTTCTTTCCTCTTGATCTTTGCTTAGTAACAACTGTGTGTAACTGTTGTTTTGAACCATCACTGCTCAATTTTGCTAAAGAATAGAAGTTTGCAACTGCTGGGGGAGATGAGTGCCACTTTAATTCTCTTTATAAATTAACTTGCCCCAATAAAGAAGGAATGTGCTAGTCCATGCCACCAGTAATCCCAATCAGATAGTGATGTGAACTTTCCTCTGGCTATAGAGTTTTTCTAACCTTAAGTAACTTTTTACTACCTATGTCAAACCAACTGCATACAAAATACAAGGGTCAGAAAGGGGCATCAGGCCAGCAGAAGTCTGTCTTTGGCTGGCTCCAAGCCTAAGTGGCCATTTGATATGTCACAGGTGGGCTGCCTTATATGGAAGAATCTCCCTCCTCCTAGCAAGCATACCAAAGAATATACCAATGCTATTTCACCTGCATGAGGTTATGCTACCTATCTCCCAGTCTCTGAGAGCAATGCCTACCTTACCCAAACCCCAGATTTGATGGGACTGCAACTCTCAGAAATCGTAGCCAGCATCATCATAGCTATACTATGTGGGAAGATTAAATGCTTCTACCATAGAGAAAAAATAAGGCTTAAGAATTACAAGAAGGTTCCTACTTCTTTGTGATGAACAATAAAATACAGCAAATACCAATCCACTGGTTACCAATAGCCTTTCTCAGTTTTGATGTCTCCAAGATTTATGCTGGAGGTTTGAAGGGGCATAAAATTGAGAAAGGCTGGTCTAGGCAAAAAGTTCAATGCTGAAAATAACAGAGGTTATTATTTAACCAAAGAACAATGTAACAATGGCAGTATGAGAATTTACCTGCTGAAGACAGATACTCCAGCAGAAAATATCAAGTTTAAAAAAAAAGGTGGGGCGGAGAGAGAAATGGAAAAATTCTGTCCAGGAATCCTGACTTACAATTTGGTTTACTGGAGATCTGAGCCTAATTGGATAAATTCCATACAAAAGCATAAAATATTTTCTCCACAGAAAGGAGATTTCAGAAGAAACATTAACCTACAAAAAGTTGAACAACAGCAAAGCCATTGACTTTTGAGAGAGAACTGGTGGTAAAACTTTTATATTCCACCTTTAAACAACTTTTAAAGTTTACCACTGCTTTTACAAGACTATTTTACCCCATTATGGGCATCATTGTTTTAATACATAGCAGCCATTTCAACACACAACTTTACGGACAAAAGCAAGACACATTTCTGTTTTTCTTTCTGTTTTTTAAAGGTCCCTTCAAGTATATTAGACTCATGATGCTCTACATGCCTAAATGAACTAGTGCAAAAGCACATAACTGGGGTAACTTCAGACACATGAAGGTAGTATTAGTCAACAGTAGGACCAAAAAAGAGGCAATATAAAGAAATGTCAAAAGAAAAAAAAAGACTTCTGTATTAAGAAAACAACAGTTTTGAACAAGCAGGAAGTTAAAAAACATTCTAGTGGCCAAAGTCTTGGTGTTCTGTAATATTTGCTCACCTTTGCCCAACAAAACAAGAGGCATTTAGTCTTGATACTCTTTTGCCTTACCTTTTTTGCATTCCCATCAATATTGCTGATCTAAAACTGTTGCTGTCTGATGACAAACAAAACACTTTAAAGATGCAAACATAAAACTCTATTTAGAACCAAATTAAGCTATAACAATGAGACGAAGAGAAGAGAAGAGAAGAGAAGAGAAGAGAAGAGAAGAGAAGAGAAGAGAAGAGAAGAGAAGAGAAGAGAAGACATTCCACCTATGACCCAAACATAAACGGGTACAGATTAGTTTTCAAGAATCTTTTTACTGAAGAGGCATTCATGAATCTATTTAGGATGGCAATTCTCAGGGCTGTCTGTTGCCAGCAACAGATGCTAATCTGGGCAAACTGAAGGCCCAGGATTAGATAAGATCTTATTCAGTCCGTCCACCTTTGTCAATGATTTTAAAGCACTTAATGGTATTAGAACACACATTCTCTACTTGTTTTCAGTTTACCGAAAACCCACCGTATCCCCCTGCCTGGATAGGTGTTTTTGGAGACGTGCAAGCATACAAGCTAAAATCCTCTGTTTGGAAACCAGCCCGGTTCAAGGAGGGTTCAGATGCGCTGCGGTGAATTTTTGGCAAAGACCGGGCCAGAAGTTCAATAGATGCAAGGATCTGAAAACAAAAGAAAACCTGACATTACGTATGTGGAAACAATGAATCACAAATTATAACACATTAATATTCAAAGTTGCAATCCTGCTAGATGTACTCTTTTTAATGAATCTTGAGGAATTTAATAAATATACAGTGCATTTGGAAAGTATTCAGACCCCCTTCACTTTTTTC